GGCTTTTTGGGGTTTGGTTTTTTTTTTTCCTTTTCACTCCCCATCAAGCACACACGCGGCTCCGCTTTCAATCCCTTTTATTGACTCTTTTCACAGAACAGAAGCTCGCAGGAAAAAAAAACGCCCGCGGCTCTTCCCGGAGCGGGAGAGCGGCCGGGAGGGGCCACCGTGGCCACCGGGAGGCGGCTCCGGGCCCGCGGGCGCGGCTGCGGCACAGACACTCGGCTACAACGCTACTCTACCCAAAACACATCGAGGGGCCCCGCCGGGACCGGGAACCGGCAACGGGAGAGGGGAGAGGGGAGAGGGGCGGCCCCGGAGCCGCGGGGAGCGGAGCTGTCCCGGTTCAACCGGTGCTGAACGGGGGTGAGGGCGCGGAGCCACCGGGGGAGGGGGAATGGGGATCGGAGAGCCCCGGGATCCACCAGAGAGCCCCGGGATCCATCGGAATTGCGGGGATCGGAGACCCCCGGGATTCATGGGGGACCGGGAGCCCCGGGATTCACCAGAGCGCTCCGGGATCCATCAGGAATGGAGGGGTCCGAGAAACCCCGGGATCCATCGGGAATTCCGGGGACCGGGAAGCTCCTGGATCCACCGAGGATGGGGATGGTGGGGATCGGGGAGCTCCGGTATCCACCGGGGACCGAGGAGCTCCGGGATCCATAGAGGGATGGGGGTGGTGGGGATCAGAGAGCGCCGGGATCCATCGGGAATTGCGGGCACCGGGAAGCCCCGGGACCCACTGGAGGATGGGGGTGACGGGGATCGGGGAGCCCCGGGACCCAGCGGGGGACGGAGAGCAGCTCCCGGGAGTGGCGGGGACTGCGAACCCCGGGATCCATCGGGAATTGCGGGGATCAGGGAGCCCCGGCATCCATCAGGGACAGGAAAGCAGCTCCCGGTATCCACCGGGGACCGAAGAGCTCCAGGATCCATCGGGAATTGCGGGGATCGGGGGACCCACCCGGCACCGGAGAAAACCGCCCGGGAAGCGGCGGGGACCGGGAATCTCGGCAGCCAACGGGGAACGGGGACCGGGAATCCCGGGGAAAGGACCGCCCGTGGCACCCACCGGGGAGCGGGGAAGCGGCGGGGACCGGGAATCTCGGCAGCGGCCGGGAAAATCGGGATGCGCCGGAGCGCAATGGGCTCCCGCCGGCGAGCGGCGGGGATGCACCGGGAACGGGAACGGGAACAGCCCCGGGGCTCGGCGGGGACAGACCGGGGAGCGACAGCAGCGGAGCGGGGAGCGGAGGGGACTCACCGGAACCGGACCGAGGAGCGGCGGGAACCCGCCGGGGACCGAATTGGTTTCAGGAAAGAGGAATTTGGGGCTAT